CTCTCTCTAACTCTCTCTCTCTCTGTCTCTCTCACTCTCTCTCATTCTCTATGTGGATAACTAATGCAGCTTTATGAAGTGACGAGTGCATGAACGATGAACGATGTTTATCAATGTTAGGTTGTGAAAGGTCTCGCACGTGTAATTAATTCATAGCCAAGCGTAGCACACACACGCCGACTCACACGCACACACACAAGCACAGTCAAACACGGAAGTGAGTCTCATTTTGTTACAAAGTTGTGCAAATGATTTGTAAATCTGGCAAACGAGCGCCAGAATTCATGTATTTATTTATGCATGTACATTCTGTGTATATATGTATATATGTAAAATATATATAAATGTTCACATATGTATAAAGACTCACCACGAGCAATTTTAGGCGTGGTAATGGCATTCTCCGGCTGCCATTAGATCGGCGCATGTTTACAAAAAGATCTGGCAGCTCGTGAATATTGCGTGCTAATGCACACTGAAAACAATTTGTATCACAAAAATGTTGCACAGAAAAAAAAAAACAAAATTAACGGTGCTAAAAAAAAAAAAAAGCAATACTGTGGAAAACATCACTGTAGAAAAATAACGATAATGCGAGATACATCAGATGAATGCTTGACATAAATTCGAGTATTTTGAATTGAATTTATATCAAATATTTCTTATGTGAAAGAGCATGTAAGAAAGTTCTAATCGTTACTGCACCTTTCAAAGAACTGATATCCCATTAATTCTGACCTCCTTTTCTGCTACACAAAATACAGCACATACACAAACACGCATGGGTTGCAGTGGAGGCTTACTATGAGAACTAAATTGTTTAATAACTTTTTGTAGGTGGATTATCTTTATAAAACTTGCAGAACGTGATAATATCATTATTGTGTATATTGACACAAGTCTCTAGAATTTGAAAGATGATTTTTGCAAGTTTTAAAGCTGGGGGTGGGCTACAAAAAAAATAAATAAATAAATAAATAAACAAAAAAAAAAGGATTTTATAACCAATTTTCGATAACGACTTATGTAATTTTGAGATCGATGGGTTAAAGCATACGGACAAACTGTTTTGATAAAGAATACACACGCTTTGTCCTCCTTCTAACTGTTACATACATTTTAACAACACCAGAAAATAGAGAGAGAGAGAGGAAAGGAGATAGATCGAATATAAAGAGAGCGAGAGAGAGTTTGTGGGGTCCTGTGTGGGCATATATGGTGTTTTTGCTTCTTTCGTACAATTGAAAATTTGAGAAATGAAGCATACTAAAAATTGTTTCGCTTTGCTTACGATATTGAGGCACTACATATTTGTATGCATTTATATATGGGCTATTCTCTAGTGGCGAATGTGACATTCGTACGTGTTTGAATTTAAAAAAAAAACGAATGCCAAATTATTTTTATTTTGACGATTAGTGAATCTTTGAGCTCTTGATTAGCTCTATAATTAGTGCAAAATCTGATTTTAGGCAAATGTTAGTTTTCAAGATAATCACAAAAAACCAAGAGGTTCGCAGGCTACAAAAAATGTAAGTCACTTTTTAAATGAACAGTTCAACCTGAGACAATTTATTACAAATAATTTTAAGTTATTAGAAATTGGCACATTTAAAATCTTTTTTATTTGATTCAAAAATATTGAGTAGTTTTTTTTTTTTATTTTTTAGTTTTAGTCAGGGTAGAAGGTGACGTGACGTGACGAATAAGACATTTTTTAGTAATTGCATCGTACCTTTTATATTTTTCTTTTACTCTTTAAGCATAAACGAAGATTTGAAAAATAATATTTCATTGCATAGTGTCTATCTTTAAGANTAGACGATGGCAAAATCGTAACCAAACGCTTTTGCTACTACACCAACAAATCGGATCCCGTGGAGCTGTGCAATGTGACGACCCCGGAGAAGAATGTGCGGCGAATATTCTGCGAGGATTGCCTGACTGATCGCTGCAATGGCGCCGCTGGCCTCGCAGCCATCTTTGCGGCCATTTTGTTGCCGGCCATGGCACTGGCCAACCAGTTGGCCAACTAAGATGGCCATGTCCCTCGGTCGTATCTCTATTTTTAGTTAAAACGTGATATTTTATTTAGCTAGCCCCACAGCTGAGCCATTCGCTGATTAACATTAAAATTTTACTTAGTTTAGTTATAGGCGTATTATACTTTCGTAGTCCCTTGTAGTCCCCATTTTATGTTAGGTTTTAATCTATAATTATTTGATTCGTTTAGTGAATTACTTTAGGGTGCATTTCATGATTTGCTTCAGTCGTTTTTAACCCAAACAACACTCCGATAAATAAATTAGCCAAATAGCTTAGCTTAACAATCGAATATTAACTTCAACAACAGCAAGCCACGCTCTATAAACGATAAAGTACCACAATAACAATAATAATAATAATAATGATATTATTGTAAGAAATGTATTTAACAACGACATTTAACACGTAGACACGTAACAATTATATTTTGGTCAGCGATAGAGGATGTAAGCAGTAATATAGCAGTAATTGAAGAATCACTATGTCTTCAGATCCGAATTGCCACGCCCATAAAATTCATCGATCCTTATAGAATCGTAAAATGAGCTTACGTACACAATTGTAGCATTTTAGCTTTAAAACTCTAAAAGATACAGTTTTACTCGATTTCCATGCCCCCAATCGTCAGAGATATATTGCGTTAATACGAACAGATAGCGAGACAGGCATTGCACAAAGCCAATATACTCACTTCACTTTCGTGAAAGGTCGTCTTTTTTCGATAATGTACGACGGATTTAAATACATACATACGTATGTTTGTATGCATGACAGGCAGTTAAGTAACTCTCGCTTTTGGCGAGAGCCAATAACTTTTCGATTATGTTAAGACTTCGCGTTGTTCTTACACACAAAAACCGCAGCAACAACAAATCGAATAATATACACAAATATGTATGTTATATGGGCATTTTGAAATCTTCGCAAATAATGTAACGTTGGAAAACATCTATGAACTGCTAAGCTGATGAGTTAGACAGCCTCAGAGCTATCCTCATTACATTTAAATTATAAACATCAACAAGTCATCAGAAAGTCAAGACGAAAGAAATAAAAGTCTGTTTTAATCAACGAGATTTTTCAAGATTTTAGTAATAACAAAGTTAGAAAAAAATGTATTAAACTTATGGAAATATTATATACTAAAGGTTTAGAAGGTATTTAAAAAGATTAAATATGAACTATTCGATCCTCTACTACTATAGAGCTTGAGGATTCCATAAGTGCAATCGATACAATATGCGACCGTTTCCAAGCATTGTGCATTGGAATACTATAGTTCATATGTAAACATATCTATAGAAAGGAAAAGAATGAGCTTGAAGATCTTAGAGAAACAAACACATGTTTTATTTAGAAGAGAAACGAATCAATATATAATTCTTGCATAAGATTCGTCATATATATTGGAAGCTTAACATTTTAATACATACATAAGTGAGATAATCGATTGAGATATTGTTAGGCATGAGCAGTAAGGATTCAAGAAATTTAAAATCCAGATCACATCTTATATTACTTCTGTAGTCTTTATCGTTTGCTTGCTATGGGAGCAGTCCAGACAAATTTTTTGTAAGGGTATTTTGGCTGCAGCGTTCCAGTGGAAGTCGATCTCTTATGTTTTTATTTTACATTTAATTTTTTGTATAGTCTCAAGCTGACATGCAGCCCACATCTTCTGGTATCAACGGTCGGGCGATCGGTCGCTTGGTCGCTTGGTCGCTTGGCCGGCGTCGTCATCATCATTTTTTATGTGGCAACTGTCATTAGCTTCCTTTTGCGCTGTTATTTATCTTGAAGCCGACTGGGGCTGGAGATAGCCAACGGCGATGGTGGTGCGGGACGGCTCGGGTCTTAGGGAGTCGGTGTTGTGGCAGCAACAACACTTAAATTGAAGCCAGAGACGAATAATTGCGAATTATCAGCATTTTACAATGACATTCTACGCATTTTTAATGACTTCTTTGGCCCAGAACCAAATTGAATCCGACTCTGACTTGGCGATCGCATTCGATGTTGACTTTGACTGTGGCTTCGACTTCAAACCCCAAGCACTTCGCTAAATGTGCAAAATATTTTCCCTCTCATATTCYCTACATGTTTTTCTTTTCTTTTCGGTTTTGTTTCTCGTATTGCCCATTGCATATCCTGTCACAAGGCAAAGAAAGAATGAACTTCAACTGTCTGCTGCATGCCAAGCCTTCGCGCTGCCTAATGCAGTGAAGAACGAGAAAGAAAACGGAAAGAACTTAAATAACATCATTGGCATTTGACAGGCAGACGACGCGACGGCTTCTACGCTCACTACACTTCATATATAAACGCCCATTATCCGCCCTCGCTTACCCCTGTCAAGTCCACCCTCAACATTTCTTCGTAGCTTTTATTTTATGCAGCGTCAAAATTTTTGGTTACCCAACTCAAATGGATGACCCTCGAATTCGTTTCCATTCCTGCTCCCGCTCCCGTGCCTGTGCCCATTGCCATTGCCGTATTGCTTGTTTGTTCAGCATTCAAGACAATTTATGACACATTTTTGATTTGCTGCATTGTGCTGCATGAAGGGGGGTCAGGATGTGCGTTAGCTGCCCTGTCATGCTCCGTCGATGCGAACACTTGTCAATTTCGATTCGAGCTCTGCCGATTCATCAACAGACTGACTCCACGCTCCACGAGAGCTTGAGCTTGTTCCTTTTCAATCTATGCAAGCACACATTCAATTAGAAATTTTCAGCAATCAGCTCATGCTCACACGTATTCATCTTTATTAGGAGGTTGATTCAAGAAAGGAACTAGTTCTAATTATTTTCAATAGTACATATACGACTATTATATACATCTGTAAGTTAACATTTGTAGAACTTCTTAGCACATAATTAAAGATTAAGCATCAGGAACTTATGTTTAATTCTGGGCTCTGAATATAAATATTCAAATAGCTAGAGTACCTTGGGTTCTATAGAGCTTGTCATTTGTTTGATTAGTTTGTCGGCTGGCGGCACTTTTATGATATATTTCTGCTCGCATTTATGATTTATTATACCCTGAAACCATTGAATATGGGAATTCAGGGTATAATGTTTTTGTGAAAATGTATTTAACAGGCAGAAGGAGGCGTAGCAGACCCCACAAGGTATATATGTATAGTCTTGATCAGGGGGACGAGCTGAATCGATATAGCTTTGTCCGTCCATCTGAGATTTTGTATATATATATGTACCACATTATATTTTTACGATAACTCATCCGATTTCTTTTTTATCGAAAATAATCGATAGAGACTTCAAAATGCGCATGGATGCCTGCGTATGTGTGCATGTGTGTAAAAAGAAGTGTAGAATGATTGGAATATCATTTCTTTGCAGGGTTCAGGGTATCTCTTAGTCGAGACTGCTCTTATTTGTTACTATTACTATTATCAAGCATCGTCAAAGCCGTTTTCCTCTCTTCAATGGCTAATCGGGGAGCGAGCCCGCATAATAATGGCCATACAAGTGCCAGAGTTCTGGGAATACTTCTGGGTCGTGGCGGAAGTCGAAAGTGTGAAATTCCGCGAACGGCGGCTGCGTCATTGATTAGTTCATGAATGAGACGCAGCGTCGCGATGCCTGGCCTTTAGATCGGAATCTAGATCGGCACAGCTACATACATATGTACATCGCACATGAATCAAAGCTAGGCAAACTCGAACTTCAACTGGAATCCGAATTCGAGCCCATAAATCAGGCGTAGACAAAGTCTAAGCCGTATCATGTCTTTCGCCATGTAGCTACATGGCACGCACAGTTGTTGCTTCCCCCCACACTCGACTCTTTCTTCACCTCAGGGCGTTGGCCATTTTCGATTTGCAGTTGTCGAAAATTCGCACATTTTTTTAACGACGCGGATCTCCCCGGCGCCTCCCCCAACAGCCGCATTGAGCCTCGTTGTAGCCGGCAATTAAAATTAGTTCCCTTTGAGCCACAAAGCTGAGCATCGTCCGTCTGTCGTCTTCCGTCCTCCGGCCATAATACAATTTGCAGAGCAACGCTGTTAAATAATTTATGAAGTGCGTAGGGTTTCTGGTGCGCATTTCAAGCAGCGCCTGTCGACTTCAATATATACACTGTACAATATATACATATGTATGTATGTGTGTATATATATGTATATATATAATTATGTATGTACTGGGGCATCGCTCACGCACTTTTTGTGCGCACAGCCGGAAAATATTTGTACACGCAGTTTTACCTCATTAAACTTTTTGGACACATTCGTTGAGCTGCATGCAAATGCTGCTGATTAACTTTTGGCAACAATAAAAAACAACAACAACAAAAAATGAGGTGAGCTCAGGTGTGTGCGTGTGTCAGGCCTTGGCGCCAGTTTTTGCTAGGCGGCTGCGCTTTCTGCCTCAATGGCAGTGCCATAAATCAAGTAATGCCACAGAGCAACACGCGCTATGGCATCGCAATGAAAATCAAAAGTGAACCAGAGCCTGAACCCGAACCAAAACCGAAATAGAAGTCCGAGTCGGTTAACTGACGACACGTTCTGGCCATAACTGCGGGCAGCTGGGTTGAGCATCTTGGCCAAGAAGTGCTCGCTCAACCACAACAACAACAGTGAGCCCCTTCCTTGACTTGCCATCGTAATGCAAGTGCTAAGTCTGGTAAACATGGTCTGAGGAGCCAGCCAGCCCCATTCTAAACCGAAATGAAACGAAACGAACCGAACCGAAGTGAAGTGGACAGTGCCCGAACTAGACTGAACTAAGCTAAGTTGAACTGAACCAGAACTCACACCCATAGCTTTAGCTAAAACCTGATTAATTATGAATTGGAAAAAACGTTGCACTTGCTGAAGTCGTGCGGGCGCGCGCCTCGCTCTTTTCATATTTTTACGGTTGCAGACTTTGCGACGTGACGCGACGCATCGCGATGCGATTCGAGTGCAGAAATTGTCTAGGGGTGCATTCGAGCAATAACTTTTGTCACGCTATAGGGCCCAGATAAGCACAGAAGCAGGCGCTTGCGCAGATACAGGGGTGCAGCTGCAGGTGCACATCGACAGGTGCGCATCCATAGCGAAATTACTTAATTTTCATCTAGTTTAATATTTATGTCATATTAGCCTCATCTGCTTTTAGGCAACCAGGTTAAGCAAGCAAATCTATGTATGTATACTCAATATAGGAATTTATTTTGAATATTATATAAATTTAAATATAACATACTTTTACATATCTACATATTTATATTAAAACACAAGTTAATAAACTGAAAAGTTAAACAAAGTATATTAAATACAAACACTTACACTCTCTAAATGCATCCTGCTCACAGCCTCACAGCTCACAGCCTTATGAATGGAGT